GTTGATTACTGATGCACTATAAGCCAAGCATGTATGTGCAGTGCATAGGCAGAAACATTTGTGCACAAATGACAATGCTTACTTCCACAAGGCAATTTATTTCCACCAATTGCATAGTTGTGGAAATCTACTCAAGTGAAAAGAGAGGCTCACTTATTTTCAAGGCAAAAATCATAATTTCCTTATTTTCTGCAGGTGTGCAACGAAGCAGGAGGCGGGATTGTGGGGCTTTGTTGCTTGGTTGATCTTACTGGATGTGCATATGGTTTTGAAAAGTTATTGTCAGAGCAGCAGTTGACATCTTCTTTATCTTATGAAATTTTCAAACTTTTTTTTTTGTCATTATTGAAAATTATCATCACAAATTAGGGCAGTGCCTTCTGGAACATAAATTCCTGACTGAAATGGATTTGCTTGCACTTATGATGTTTTTCCTTCAATGTCAAATTAACCTTTCATTGAAAACATAATATCCATTCAAAACACTGCTTGATCTTGTAGGTTTACTTTTACTATAACAAGATACCAAAGGAAATTGGTCTCTTGAAATGAGGGCTATTCACAAAACTGTTCAAAACATAACAACAACAACCTTTTAATCATGAATAGAATGATAACAATAAAAGTTGTATCATCCAGAAGGTAGAGACATTTGGAGCATATAGTTTTTTTTATGTCATCAAAGGTATCCTGCACCCATTTGAAAAGATCCCAAAGTAATATTTTAAGCTTTTTATCCTTCCCAATTTTGACCTTCAAAATGTTAAAGCGCTTCAAGTTAAAGTTTATCTTAAGTGTACCTGTTTTCACTATTTCCTTCTGAGCCTTGGAACCAAGCAAGATCCACAACAGGAAACATGTTGAACTACATAACTTAATAAGAAATGGAATAAAAAATTGAATTTTAAGCACAGAGACTGGTCGAGCAGTTTTTTTTTTTTTGTCAAGGAAAATTATTTTCATTTTGATGCAAATGTTCCTGAAAAGGATACTCTTAATGTGAATAAGAAAAATTTTTGATTGCATATTTTTTTTAAATCTGTAAAGGCTCAAAATCTCTAAAGGTACAAACATTTGAAACAACAATTTAAACTTTATTATTAACAACTTAATGATTTCAATTTAATTTTCGACTTATCACAAAAAATAAACTTTCACACATGATTCAAACTTATTTTAAATTAATTAAATTAATTTTTTTCAATTGTCATAAAAAATAAACTTGCCCATTATTATTGCTATTAGAATAGCCAGTATAATATTATTTGGAAAATGTAGTAACTTATTTTATCTAAAATTGAAACTTTTTTGTGATATATCTCATATTTCACATTAATAAAAGTCTTACATAATTCTAAATTAGACTATCCTTATAAATGTTGCCAGTGTACAAAGTTCACCTTGCACTTCAACTCAATCCCATAAGTTTAAGAAACCCCATTCTTCATTACTCTAAAGTGAACAATAAAATGGGTCAGATCTCTCTTGCAGTCCCATTTCATTGATGAGGTATACTTTCTTCAATGCATATATTACCATCAATGAATTAGTATGCATATAAGATGAGCCCATTCCATAATTGTAAAGTAACCTGCCTTCAGGTATTTAGAACAGTGATTGCTTCATTTCGGCACTCATTTGGCCTTCAAAGGAATTCAAAAAAGAAATTACACTGTAATTCTTTTGTTTTACGCATGCACAATATCAATTGCCATCTCTCTCTGTGCTTGGAGCATGGCACGGGGAAGGATTCCTTCAAACAATGCAACATTTTGTACAGGTTCTGGTTGGTTGCCTTAAAGGTCAGACATGGTTTATCTTTTATTCAATCATCATCATAACCATAAAGATTCTGTAAAGTGATAATATTTGTACCAAGTGAAACCCTCAGCCTACTCACACTTGTAATGAGGGATTTGACTGACTTATAAAATCAGATTAATACAATCATGTTTAGTCTCGAGCAGGTAAAACTCGGGCAACTGCCACTAGAGAAGTACAATGTGCCAAGTATCTTGTCTCTCACCTGGATGACTGACTGCATTAAATACTCAATTAAAATGAAATTGTACTTAATTACAATGGTCAGAGGATGTACTTAGTCGGTGGTCAATTGTTAGTCTCTTCACAATGTCATGTCTTATAAGCACAGTATCAATTATATTTTGCTTATAAAAATAGTAATAGTCCCAGGGTGACTGATGCTTAAAGGTGGAATTAAGAAATTATTTAAAAAATTTGAGTTAATTTTCCAACTCAAACCCAATACTGTTCCAGCTACAGTGTAAAGTCACATGATCAGTTTTCTTATTTTTGGTTTACATGTTATTACTCTACGTTTCATGAATTCAAAGACTATATATTTATGGGAATTAATTTATGCCATCCAAAGTTGAAAGCTTCTGTTAGTGGTAAGACGACATAAAACCCCTCTATTACAAGGCTGAACATAATATAACTTTAACTGACCACCAAATTTAATATATCAAAATTCTGTATTTCTATCTTAAATAAGAAAAAACCCTGGCAAGGGTTTTGTAAAGATTTAAAAATTACTTCCTCTCTGCTAATTGTACTTAAAATAATATAAATGACATGCAACAACAAAGCAAACAAAGTCAATAACCAACTGAAAAATTTACAGATGCAGTCCTGTCCTCACTCATCCCCTAAATGATGAATTCTCAATAAATGTCTCTTAAAAATTTTCCAGAGGTGAATCAAATCCAAACCTATTTTCCCTTCTCCTTGATAGGTTATATCTTCAGTATATGAGCACAATTAAAATAATGCTAACTGTGGCCCTGAAAGTATAAAATATGCAGTCATTAACCTACCTGCATAAAGAGGCAATACATGGTAATATTTGTTCTCCTTAATCACTCTTTTTTCCTGTCTTTTCAAGTTAGCCTATTGTCAAGTATCAAAGTAAATGTTACCTAGTGAAAGTACATTTAGTGATGCATGCTAGCTTTCTTTTGGTTTTAGCCAAGTAAAGAAAAGGTACTTTGAAAGTGAACTTGTGTAGGGTACTTTTTACTTGAGAACTCTATGTGGATAAATTCAAGTCAACTGCCAATGATATCAGAAGATTGTTTATGTTATCTTGTGCCAAAATGCCATGGAGTCCCTTTAAAAGTATTCAAAACCCCCGTCCAGCTGTTTTTATCCTCTGCTGCATATTTTTCTTTAATTTCTATTTAAATTTTGAATTAAAGGAAATATAAGTACCACTTCTTTTTGGCACCCAAAAAAGAGTGAACCGTTTTCAGGCACCACCTTATTTATATAAGTAAAATGCTGCACTCACTCCGCATACAGGAATGAGTGCAGAGAAGAACTTCTAAATATATGGGTGCACTGCCACTTGGATTTCTACCCCTTGAACATGTGCAGACACCTACACCTTGATATTTAATTCATACTGCAAATTGTCACATGCATTCATCATCTTCTTGTTACTTTCTCATTATTTATAAGCTAATGCTAAATATGACCTACTTCCAACACTTACAAAAACAGCAACATCAATAAAAAAATCAATAGTTCATGTAGCCCAAATCTATAATGTAACAAAAGAAGCACCTTTATTTTTCCAAGTGCATAATTATGATTTTTTTCTAACCTGCATGAACCAAATTAACACTGCACACCAATGAAATCCTCACTATTAAATGTGCAGAAAATTTAATAGACTGTAAATTGCTAGGGGAAAGTTGGGTAATTCTAAACAGCAGTTCCCAGACTAAATGGCTGTGGATCGTGTATCTTTGTAATGTTAAATAAACTTGGCAAACCCCATTGATCAAGTCACCTCACATTAACAGCCACCTGTCTTTAAAATGTCAAGCCCCCATGCTTAGATTTGCTATATTTACACTTGAGTCTGCTGTCTTAACTTAATAAAACTTTAAAACTACAACTGGAGTTTCCAAGCCAATTCGTCATGCTTCAAATGCATGCTGCCTTTAATTGCAGTGTGCGGCCATCAGAAGGATAAGAGCCATGTACTCAGTTCTACCTCCAGTAGAAAATTATATTCATTAAAAGGAGCTCTCAGTTCTGTAACATGCAGAAGGCTACCATATCAGTGGTCTTATCTTGTGGTTAATCAGCTGCATTCCCCACACACCAAGTTGTCAAGGTGAGCCTGCTGGTCCAAAGTGTGTTTAACCATTCCGACTTAGATATCTAACCACAAGGGTAAATACTGCCAGTTAATAGTCAAAGAAAATAGAACTTCTCAAATAATTACTGTTTAATGCTTATCAAATATTGCCTAAAATAGTCTTCCAGGTTCTGAATTAAACAAGTCTTGTTTTGTCACATAGTAGATTCTGGATAAAATCAAGACTTGTATGAATATTATTAGGCCAAAGAAAAAGTGACTTCAACCCGAAGCACACCTACTGCTCAGTTTTTCACTTTGTGTGTTACACTTCTCTGGCTCTCATTTAGTTGCACTTCCCAATCTCTCTCAATGACTTACACTTACTTCTAACTCAGTTATCCAAAAATTTTCCTTTTTCTTTTTGTAAAGTAAAAAGTGGCAAAGAGTTACTAGCACACTCACTTCTGGGCATTTCATTGTACATGGGTTTCAATCAGCTAATTTGAGCACACATGGTTAGCTGAACTCCAACTGAGCTGTGAGCACAGTTGGGTACAATTGCAAGTTAAACCAAATTTGATGTAAAACAGCTGATTAACCCAAGTCTTCATAGTCTTCTCTTTTTGAACAAATCGCACATACCAGAGGAAAAGGAACAAGCCTTAACTATGCATCCATAATATTATTACATATTTTTTAAGGTGCTCAATCACTGGGACTCCATTACTTTCTTCTTATCACACAGAAAGTAGCAAATCTACAGGAGACTACTAGGCTGTCCTAGTAAGTGTTAACAGAATAGCATGCTGAACAAAACCAAGAAACTTAATTTCCAATCCCCAGAAACATGTGCTGCGAATGAATTCCAGCCAAATAAGAAACAAAGTGCTACTGTAAAATAGATTTTATTGTATGTATATAAGATTTGAAAATACATTGCTCTGTTCAACCACAAATTGATACTTTCTCAAAATTGCAGTATTCAAATGAATACAAATATGCTATTGGCTTAATATCAGACCTTCTTGGTCTTCTGTACCTTTTTTTAAAAAAAAATCATCAAAACAGGTGTCTTTTGCCCCATTAATATGGGAACACAGTCGCAACTTCCCACTTCTTCTACGGACACCACAGGGGCAAATGGCAGAATGCTTTTGATATGTTGCTGGACTAACATGGTGATATCTTACAACAACTTTATCCCTGCATGGGAAATTAAATGCAATAATAACACATCTCTTAACGTTTTTGCCCTTCAGTCAATCAATCAATGTATCTGACAGTAAAATTTACTGGCCACCTACCCAAGTGGAAATTTGATAAAAATATCACAGTTTAGCAATGTCTGCATACATGGCATACACATTCTGTTGACGTGCAACAAAAACAAATAGCTTTGACTAGCTTCTTCAACAATGATTTACTCCTGCACATTTTGTGAAGATGAATACAACAAAAATTACATGTGAACCTTATTGGCATCAAGTCTTGTTCACACATACAAAAAAGACATCTTCCAACTTGAAATCATGGGCACAAATGATCCATTAGCATACTAAATTTCAGTTATATACACACTGAATATACAAAAAAAGTGCCTTTAATCTATAGCTTACATATGAATAATAATATACACCTTGCATGCCTGCTCTACAAAATATGCTTCAAAATATTGCTTAAATTTTTTACTAACTCAACCTTTTTTGGGTATAGACTTACTGTCTAATCATACATCGGTTACTGTCCAAAACTTATTTCTTTGCTGATCAACAAAGTTTAAAAATACTGGACAACTGTCTTTGGCATTGATATATATGACAACTATCAGCAGCTACCTGTTGCAAGTACTTCACAAAAATGGTAACGACGAGACAACACAGTATTTACCCATACTATTTCAATATTTCACTTGTATATTTTAAGCTGCCTCCAAATTACACACATAAAAAATAAGTCCCCTTGCAACCTATAACAGCAAAAAGAATACCTGAGAATGTTTTAAGAGACTGCCACAGTAATAGAACATACTGTCCATGAATGTGCTATGTGCAGGTCAGATTTCTGATATAGGTTGCAAAGGGTTAATTTGCCATAAATGTGTCTATTTTCCATCTCTGCCTTAATTTCTGACTAGAATATTAATACCGTCCCATCAGCAGCCTGTTCTTGGCAAGGATTATTCTATTTTGGAACTTTTTTGCTTTGTGAAAATGAACACAATTGCTTTTCCCCTAATTGCTGATTCTTGGACAATACAATGTAAATATAAATAAATAAAATAAACAAAACGTTCCCCAGTTTGGGCCATTCCACAAACAATTTTTTTTTATAATTAAAAAAAAAATCAATAATTAGAAGAGTCCAGTCAATATTACAAGTCTGACTAGCATGGCACATGCTGACTGCAAGCCGGGCACATCACAGGAAATGAGGACTGTGAGGGAACATAGTTATTGTAGCCATAGTAGTTTGTGTATGGTCCATAGAATACTTGGTCAACTATCAGATCATTCTGCATATCAAACTGCTGCATCTGAATGTGCTTGTTCCGCGCCTTGCGTTCTTGATTCACCAGCACTTCGTATGCCATTTGCTGAATAAGGTTCAAGGTCTGCCGACGTTCATGACCCATCAAGCAAATAGTACTTTCATCAATGACTTTATACAATTTTTGCAAGTATTCATACTGCATTGTATCATCTCCATTGAAGTGATTGGTCAAATAGTTTGCTAGTTTCTGTTCTTGTTGGGTTATGTCACTGAAATCAATAAAAAATCGTGAACACATATACCGCTGCATGGCACCAACTTCTTCCATTTTTGCAGGTCTATAACCTCGAACTTGAAGAAAGCAATACTTCATCAGGCCCCCACCACGGATCTCCTCGGGCTTATTGGTAGCAATGAGCTTCTTGTTTAAGTGGTACAAAGCTTCATTGAAGTTACCATACACACTCTCTGCAATGACTGTTGGGTAGAAATTCTCACTCATGCCAACCTCCTCCCCTGACGTGGATGAGATCTCGTAGAATTTGAGCAGACTATCCAAATATATCTGGAATGAATCTACACTGAACTCGTACTGTCTTTTCATAGTGTCTACGAATTTGAGCTCAACATTCTTGCCCTTGTTGTTTGATAATGATATCAAACTCCAGCGGTCGGAATGATTGCACACTTTCACCATTTTCTGAACATAAGCCTCTTTTAGACTACAAGTACTCATCTTCTCTTTATTCACACCCTCTGGCAAGAAATCCAACAGACAGTCCAAAACCGCATGTTTAGTTTTCTGCATGTCGTTCGTCGTCCCCATGTCGACACCAAATATCAGATCCAAATCGCTGTATATTTGACCGTTCTCAGATCTCCCGATCACGTAACTAGCAGCACCTCCGTTCAGACGGATATCCCTGATATGAACTCCATCAGCTTTAAGTTTGTCCCGCACCATTTTTACGAGATCTTTCAACTTGATATCAAGTGTAGGAAAGTTACCTCGGCCATGGATGGGTATCTCGTTTTCCATCACCTCGTTCAAACGCCGAAGTTGCTCAAAAAACAGGACCGCCTGGCTGCTGGACACTTCCGAAGCCATGGTCAGTCCTTGAATGGATGGGGGTTTACTCTGAAAATGAATGACAATGTCAATATCAGGAAAAATTCGGAGCCAGAACGAACAGCTGTCAAACGCTACCCATCCCTCGCATAAAACTACCGACTTTGTCGTCCTTGGAATAATTGACTTTTTGCCTATACACAGATCAATCCGCGCTCACTGACAGATAACGAACTGTTGAAAAATTATAAAGTTTATAAGATTGAACATACCAAATGTGCTCACAGGTTGTTAGGTCCTACTTATTACTCCGTTAATGCCAAGGAATTTTAAGATCTCAGCTGTACACCCGTGACTATATTTTATCGCGCATGAACCTAGGTATCACTAAAGTGATGCGGCTAGATAACACGACACTAGCGACACTTCTGGCCAATATTGCACAATTGCGTGAAAGTCCGACTAAAATCAATACAGTAGCTTGGTAACAATATTGACCCTTTAATTACTGACGTCAAATAGGACAGTGATTTATAATAATTTCACAGTGTTCATTTAAGCATCTACCTCATGTGATTCCTTGAAATGGTATTTTAACACAAGGAATTAGACCCCTGTGGTCGGTATATACAGTATGTTTCGATAAACGGGCTTTTCATAACAAGGCAGTAACGAAACGACGCGGCCTTATTATATTCACGATAAGAATGACGTTAAAAAGTTCCCCCACTTAACTTACATATGACACGTTTCTGTTTGAATTCATTGGAAAAAATTACTGCCGGTAGACAACCATGAGTTCCTACTGGGGTATAAAGCTCATTTCATTTTCTAATCGAGTTTTAATTTCTGAACAGAAAAATACATAGGTGTTGGAATTCAACTTTAAATAAATAATCTTTATATCATATTTTATATCATTTTATATAAAAATAGGCGTCAGCAGTTAGTTCTTTTAGGTTCAAAAAGCTTAGTAACATCGGTCCATTACGACTTAAACATGTTGGAAACCCATTATATTGTGCAGTCTTTTGATCTCTTGGCACCGATGCAGAGACGGGTGAAATCCAAAACACCTGTTGCTTCCACAATCTGTCATGAGATAAGTTAGCATGTTTCAGAAATATCCCACACTAAAAAAAGTTGAATATATGTGTACTCAGTGTGCTGGACATTTTTTCGAAATTCGAAATAAAATAATTTAATTGACACGCGGCAAGATATATCGCAAACCCAAAGTAAATCCCAATTTGAAGTACAGTGCCTCTGTCAGAATTCGGGCCAATTTTCGTAGCTCGAACTCAGTTCAAGTGGAGTCTGCCTCTGAAATGCACAGCCCACTTACCTGGCAAAGAAAGTATGCTGTTCACACAAAAGCCTCTATATGAAATGACACAATCGTCCAAGTACAGGCAATAAATGTCGGATAGAGCCAGCAAGCTTAGGGTAGGGTGTCCGAGATGCACTAGATGCAGAATGTTCCTCTGTGAAGTCACAAGTGTTCTTTTGAGTACATACCATACAATATGTTCAAATGCGAGCGCCCTCTTTAGTTGCTCCTTACATATTAAGGATGACGCTGTGAAAGTCCTGCCGTCTGGACAAATATCTGCAATATAATTGGTCGCCTTTCTTTCCGCCGCGCAATATATTGATTTTTCAAGAACTATCTTACGCACACACTTGTTCTTCAATGAATGAAACGTCACATTTACGTCAGTCAATTATTTAGCGGCATGTTATAACTGAGCCGTCCAGCTCTCAGCAACGAAATGAAATGCCACAAAGTGACAATATCTCATTTGTAGATCTAAAAAAAGATCGGTTTGGATAGAGGTGCTTTAATAGTCTATTCTCGGTTGTCATAGGCCTGTCCAAACTGCTCGATTACATCCTTACCATATTGTAAGGTTGAGTAACAGAATACATATTTTGTGAAATAGTGGCGCGTCGACATCTCTGAGAAGGGAGCAATAGATAACTGTAGACAGAACCTAGGGCGGAATGCGGGTTACGGTTATGCTTATTCAAGCACATATTTCTGGTCATTCCCCTGGTGTCCGTGGAAATAAGCATGGCTACAGACAAGACTGCTGGGAGCTGCGGGTCGCAATGAGTTATTTCTCATTCGATGATTTCAATATCATTCGCGCATATCTCGCTTTCCCTTTTTCTACTTGTATCACTCACATATAACTTTATAAAAGTCACTATTTAATCTAGAAGAGATATCTTTTTAATCAAAATGTTTTTCACGATATCGCCTCTTCCTAATTAAATCCAGGAAATGCCTTATTTTGTGAGCTAGGATTTATACCTATAAATATGAGAACGAAGGGGCAGTAATTGGTCAGAGGACAGAATAATAATCATTCTAATACGATGTACATCGTGAATTGCGCTTAGCGCTAAATATTGAAACCTCTGTAGTTTCAACTTCCCTCTCTGACGTGGGTGAAATCGATTTTCGTCAATTGTTCATAGAGAAACAGAATTAATAACCTACAGGATGATTTGCGTACCACGCACTAAAAACGATCGATATGGGACTTCCACATCAAAACAATTGCCGGTTGGGGCAGGTTTCCCCTTGACATTAGGGAAAGCATAAAAAATAACTATTCAAACGTAATTATTTTCATTTAGATGTGACCGGAGATGAATCTCAACTCCGAAAGTAAAAATAAACCAATGTAATAGGCCGAACGTGATGAAAATTAAATATTACCTTTGGAAAAGAAATGCTTTGCATTTCCTTGTTGTAATCAGTCGTGCATTGTATACTATTGTATTCCGTTTATTATTTTAACTAATGACGGATTTCTTTCGTTTGGTGAACACAGAAACAATTTTACACGGATAATTCAGAGAAAAAATTACTTAAAAAACTTGTGACGGAAAATATTTATATTAATATCAGAGATACATGTAACATTATACCCAAAGGCAATCGAAATACATGTATCAACACTTTCTTTAAAAGTGATTTTATATGATCTTCTTGAGCACAGTTCAAAATAAAGGATAAACGTTCGGATTTTCAAATGGTCACTCGCCTCTTCAAGAAGGCGGTTGTCAATTAAAAACAACTTCAAATTTCTCGATATACTTAGGACCTACGACTTTGCTATTGGAAATAGAGGACGTCAAATGGCATGAAAATTAATACCGTCATTTTTTATTTAGTAATATTGGTATGTAACCCGGAGAAATATATAATGTAGCTGAATGTCTTTGGAGACTACTTTCTTCTACTACTAGTCTATTCTTGCCATTTTCAAACCTTGTTTAAGAAAAGGAAAATATAAGATTTACCTTTGGAGATTCCTCGCATTTCCACTGATTTAATTTTAGCATTCCTTTTTCGTTCAGTGGCATTTACCACAAAAACATTGTGTAAGAACGGGAAAATATAGCATTTAGCCTTATGTCAACTTCGGAAATTCCCTTCACTTTACTTTCACCATCTTCCCCGATACTATGGAACACGTAATTTGCTTATTATTTACGGGATAATATATCGGTCTCAAAAGTTCTTTTTAACCTGGGGGAAATCGCCTTTGTGATTTGATGATCGAGACTACTAGCGACAGTTGGTTACCCGCCACGGGAAAATCTCACTGATTATCGGAACTTTATTTAGCTCCTGTGGCGAACAATAATGAAGAGTAGAACAATAATGAGGTCTCTTGTGAGTCACCGTTATATGTATTTATGTTGCAACGGTTTCCAGGATTCACCATTTGTGCGTAGGCTGAGGGTTGTCAGTCTCCCAGAATCGTCAAATTGCACTGCCGATAACCACAGTGTATACATTCTGATTCAATATGGGTTACTTTCCAAGTGTTTTCACACCATCTTTATACACAAATTTTATAATTGTACGCTATTCACTTACTATTAAATATCTATATATCTTTTCATTGAATAATTTACATACATGTATCTGTCATTCAGTGCGAGATTTTCATTCTGAAGAACCCGTCATATTCCACGTCAACTAGTTCGCGCTTATCGCGATTTATGTTGTGCATCTTTCTGCTCGGTGAAACGTAATAAAGAGTTTGTTTATCACTGAAAGAGCGCCGCTGTGGGCACTTTCTAAGTCCATATTTAAGTAAATTTTACAAGAAGAAATGTCGTAGCTGGACTTAAAATGGTAAACTCAGAAGTTTTCTCTGTAAAGGATATGCACACTGGACTACCATATAGAAGAAAAAGTGCACTGTTAAATTTAAATCTCGTTTATCCCTAAACACCGAAAAGTAAATAACAGTGCTGATTAAAATATCAAACTTGCATTTAAACCGATACCAAACTTAGCTGAACACACAAAGTGTCTATTTTTAAACAGTCAATATCGATTTCGGCAAATTTATCACCGACCTTCTATAAGCGACGTGTAAGGATATGTCACATACACATAGATAACCTTTGGTATTGATGGTGTATTTTTAGTGACAAGTCTGTACTTGTTTCTAACCCTGGGGAATATTACGGAGTGTCGTACGTGAGATAGTGATTTCCACGCGTCGTGGTTGACCAGTCTTAAAATAAATGTAAGAAATATATACATCCACTCAGGGGCGGGTCCAGGATTATTTTTAAGGGGGGGGGGGGTAGGAATGACAAGCATCGAATGCGAAGCCAACCCTCGCCCCCTTGGCATGGGGGTTGGCATTGGTGTTTTGGGGGGCAAACAGTGCCATTTGGTACGGTTTAGAACTGATTCAGCTAGTCAAAATTCTAATTTCAAGAGGGGAATATCGGTGTTTTTTCATAAACCAAAGGGGGTGGGGTCAGCCCCCCCCCCCCCGACTCCTCTCCCTAAATCCGCCACTGTCCACCATCAAGTTAAATGTAATGAAACGCATGAACAAAGTCTAGTCTTGAGGCCATAAATCTAGCAAGACATTTAAGTCTTCATAAAAATCAAAAAGTGTTACATCCCTGTTAACCATTTGGTGACACCTCTGCCTGAAGATTTCTGGCATGTTTTTAAGACTTCATAATAGAAAAACAAGTGTTAAATGGATGGAAAGTCGCCGCCTAAATTTATGGACGTGCTGTGACGTCACCAGTACGTCGCCAAGTGCTGCAACGAACCCGTTAAACGTCAAATAAAGATGTGTTACGGGTACATATGTACGTATTACCCTCACCCTTCCCATACACTTTTATGACTTCTCAAACGGGTTTCAGCAAACGGACCAAGACGTCTTAGATGAGCACCCAAGAACTACAACGGTTGAAGGACTAATGGTTTTTCAAACGTATAGATTGAAAAACATCTTTTTATAAACGTCAATTGGCCGAGTTTGGGGTATATTCAGGCCACAACGCATCGTTTTCTGGGTGCCTTATTCCAAAACTTAGATCTAAGAAGAATATCTAGGTATATCAAAAGCGTCTTACAGACGTAAGACCTCTACACATGAACGTTTTCCATACCAGAAGACGTCAAAGATGTCACAGTTACCAGAACATAGTCGACTGGGTAGTAATTACGTTCATGCCGCAGCGTGATCTCTTCTCACATCTCCAAACATACATGTATCGTGTTTACAGCGTTGGACTTTTTCAGATCGATCAACCCGAGAAACCCTGACAGTATTAAATCGGTACAATGCCGGCATAAGATAAACAACCAATATCGTCTCTTGAACAAATATATACAAATAACGCTCAATGTTTGCCTATACCATTAGTCCACCTCACCTCTGAAAACTAAAATAATTGCATCATGACAATAGGTATTTCATCTGCCAACAAGTTTTACTGCTTTTGCCTCACAGATTTGCGGGTTACTTGGACACAAGGATTATGGAAAGATTACACAAACATACAGGAGATGTACGTTTCTAAAATTTATTATTCTATTTTTACAAAATGGAAGGCAAATATAATTTTAAAGGGATTTTGTCAAGTCTGCATTCTCCTTTTCTAAGAAAACTCATATCTGCATCTTGAATAGGAAATGTAATTGACATTTACTCAGTCGTCTCATATTGGCACTGTTAAAAAGGCATTTTGGAACGCTTAAAACATGAGCCCTTCCGTGCATCGTTTTCTTTAAGGACCAAATCCTGTTTTTATTTACATATCAATTTTATAAGTAAACAAGTGCTTCGTCAGATGATTGTTGGAAAATATACACATAATCCAAAGATTTATTAGATAATTGATTACTATGCTTGTTATGCACAATAACAACTCCCCAAAAATTCTCAAATTTCCGACAAAATCAAGAAAACATCAAGAAAACGTAAGATGCGACAGTTTCTTCGTCCGGTGTTTTCCCAGCTACAGTCACTTTCTTCTCTTTAACCAACTAACTAAGGCCCATATCCGAAAGATAGCAAATCCAAGCCCAAGTTGCTGGAGAAGAAAAAAAATTGCCAATCAATAGTTTTCACGGTAAGTATTTATTTATAGTAACTGCCCGAAGACTGATCAACAACGTGATAGCTTTGACCTAGTGCTGTTTACGTCAACATGTCCATCCCAGAACATTATTCAGTCCTCACAGTTAATAAGTTAATCTCAACCACTTAGTTTTGTGTCAGTCAACAATACCGGGAGCACTTAATCTGAACTCAATATTCAATATGATTTTCTCATATGACAGGTCCCCAAAATAAAGTCTTGTGGAAAACATGTTCATGCTGTTGGTGAAAAAATACCGTGGGTTTGAGGGATGGTGTCACGATCTAGTGGTAAATTGCAGCACGCAATGAGTGGGCGTCTCGCCGGGAATTGACACCTGCACCAAAGAGACGTCATTGCAATTATGTGACACAATAGTTAACAGGACAGCTAAAGCAAGTGACAGGACGGAGAGCGACTTGAACTGGTTGTGTACGAAAAGAAGAGATCGAAATACTTTTAGTGGTAGCCGAGATTGCATTAAACAGTTTCTTCATCTACTTTCCATTAATTTTTAAAAGGGATTTTTTAAAAGTCTCTGCAATACGAGAAGTCACACTGCACTAAAAGCCATTGCATATCAATAAGATAGATGGTTTACCTATTAAACCCCCCCCCAATACATGAAGTTAGCTTAACTCAACAAAATCACCAGGACGAACGCACAATTAGTATTTCAACCAAAAAACTTAATATTGAAAAAGATTTAATTTGGTTATCACTCAAAAAGGTAGTTTCTGGCCAATCTTAACATTCATTATAAACTACATATGGGGACTGAGTTATGAAACCCCATTCATATGAAATCACAAAACTACTGCTGTAAACAAAAACTGTGATAGCAGTGTCATTTCAGACCAAATATTTGTTTCCAAAAATAATATACAACATATCTCAGTTACACCGCAGTCCTTAGCTGTTCTTCACAAAGAAGTCAATTTGAGTCTGAACTATCACTCCCTTTATCTTTCTAAAACAATATTTATTCTAGGTCTACTTACACAGTAACAGTCGGACATTTATCTGACTAGAAAAGCACTGCTTGTCATTACTGATATGCTTATCTTAAAAGTAGTTCCCACAGGTGGATGAGCCTGGAAATTCCCAACTTGTCATTGCTGAATTTAGAATAGGCTTGGTTCTATTTATGAATGATAAAAACTGTTCAACACACACACACACACATCTTAGTTGTCCTATTTCTTGATACTTTTGTCTGAGCTCATTTGGCTTTCTAAATCCTTCACATTCATTCAGCCAATTATTTTTCATTCAAACTGATGAATGTATGCCAAAAACAGAAACGGGTAAGTGGAACTGAATTTTTACTGGAAGGGGAGATGGGGTGGCAGGGTGGCAGGGTTAGTGTCCTAAATCAAATTCAGGACTTTATCATTTGTGATTTTCAGTTTGGCCTCATTCGTTGATAACCAAGGGAAGAAATAGTGCAGTCATTACAAGTAATATCAATATTCAAGTGTGTGTGTGTGTGTGTGTGTGTGTGTGTGTGTGTGTGTGGTTAATACGGGATCTGCAAGAAAGCTTGAAAATTTATTTTTAATTTTTGTCCATTAGCTGGTTATGCTGATTTGCCTATACTTTATCAGTTTCAAAACATTTTCTCTTCACCACCATGACAAAAATGGATCCTGTGAGCAAATAAACTGTCCAAACCATAAAACATTGTTTACGAAATAGTGTCATAATAGGCAGTACAATTCCAAGCAGTTGCAGTAAGCACAGAAAGAAGTATCCAGCATCAGCAGGCATGTAGTAATATGTACTGTACCCCCCAGTAGTTTACATCTGGAAATTAATAGAATAGGGAAGCTTCTGGAAGTTTCTACAGATTACCATGATCTAACAAATTCTAGAATGTTCTCTTGATTATCACAAGGCACAATTATCAGGACCATTTAACTTCATTTCACATAACATGTCATAAAAGGAGACACAACTGCAGAGGGTACAACTAGTACTTAAGGGACTAAAAATCCTGTGTAAAGTTAACTCATAGGTTATAGTGTGCTTTAATCATAAAGATTTTCTGTTACTTGTTGACAATAGAAGCACTTTGCAGTTATTACTCCATGTGTTGATGCATATAAATGTACAAATTAAATATTGTTTTCTTCAACTGCTTTTACCATTGCCATTAAAACCTGTCTTAAATGCTGGTTATTATATAAATGACATCTGGTTTATCTGAACCAGCATTTTTAGTCATGAAATAGTACATAATCTCAAGCAGATGCATCTGTAAGTATTCATACAAATATTTATATATCAATCAGTTTCCACTTTTTTATTTTAATACAGCTGTATGAACTATTTTGAAGCTTTTCATACTCATTATTCAGACTGAGATTCCTCTAATCACTTTAAAGTTTTCAAGGTAGCTGACACATACAAGCAGCAATTGAAAACATAGGTAATATGAAGTTTTTTCATGCTACCATGCCAGGCTTAAATTGGCATGTCTAAAATAGCATCCATGACAACTATTCAAGATTGACCACTTAAAAATGAATTATGTTTTGTTGTTGTCTTTTTCATTTGTTGAAAAATTGTCAACAGGCTAAAATAATGCAACTGTAGCCAGTCTAGTATGAAAAAATGTATTCACTGACAAACAGGAAGGTTGGACTTCTGGTTACCTACGGCACAATCGATATTTCAGCATCCTCCCCAAGTCAGACGTGCAACATGATCTGTTTTCTTTTTAGTTGGCTTGATGAAGCCAAGAAACTGTAGCTCTGAGACGGCACGAATGAAGCGTGCTCTAGGAAAATGTAAAAGAAAATACCACTGTGATTGAAAATATTAGCCTTACAGTTTATAGAAAGTGCTGCTATAGATAAAATTAGAAATACAAAGTGTCTGTCATTCTCCCTTTGTGAATCAGAGATAAATAATACATAAAGCATAGACAGATAATTCATAATAACATAATAACATGTAATAAATAAAAATAACATAATTATAAATATAGGATCACAGGTTTTGGATCCATACAGGTAATCACGGTTAATTACACTGCTGCATTATTTACAAATCAGTTACTCAAGGATACTGTATTTCCTTATTGAGTTGTTTGGGTTGATCATCATCTGTGTCTCCTTGTATTACTGTGGCAAAAGCCTGGAATGTAATATACATGTACTTTATATATGAAAAGCAAATGAAAAATGAACCCAACTTTTTCTAAAACACATCAAGTATAATTTAAAAATAGAAATAAAATGTCACCTTCCACCACTGGAGGGTATTGTCTCTGTGTGTTAAATTTTCCAATATTCTTTTTGTAATACATTACAGGTAAACTGTAAAATAATCAATTTTGGCATTTGTTTTTCAAATATGATTTTGTATTGAATGCCATAAAGATGTTCCAAAGGCTACCAAGTCAAAACTGTCAGAGGCAATGCTATGTGGTAGTCTTAGTAAATTTTCCTTTATTTAACAAGATATTTTAAAGAAGCTTAGTTAATAAAAATTGAAGTTTGGTGCAATTTTCCACTGGATACAACTTACAAGCTTAAAATAAATGTATATGTGTACAATATTAAAAAACAATTTCACGCTAAAACACAATACTAAAGATGTTTCACATACATTTCATTGGTGTCAAAACTTGTGTGATTTATTTTAATGTCATACACTAACAATCAAAAACACCCAATCAAAAGACAATACCATTATTTTCATAATTTGTGTTAAAACACAAAGCAGAAATTGTTGAAAACGTGCCATATCAAACTTAAGTTTTTGTAGACTGAAAGTGCATCAAAACTATAAACAATTCCTTAACTCACAACATTCTCACCCCTAGGTTACACTTGTCTAATACATAACTTAATGTGAAAAGATGCACGTCAAGTATGTCAACCACTGCTTGTTGAATTTAACAGAGAACAAGTTATACCTTTTGGTAATTTTTAACAAATAAATGCCATAAATCAATGTCACCAAAAAATATATCACTTTTTGATGGACCTTCCCCATGTGTCAACCATCTTGTAACAGAAGAAAAAAATTGACAGAGGTCACTTGTATGTTTATTACTTTCTCACGAAACTAAAAATAGCAAGGCACTATCATTCAATTGTCTTTAACATTGGAACAAAGTACTCAATTTTTTTCTTTAAATATATAAATTGCATTAAAATTTTCACTGAAAAACCATGCAAATCATATTAAATGCTCAAACTATCACGTGCTTTCAAATAAAACAAAAGAAAATGAGATATCCTAAAAAATGAGAAAAAGTAATGAAACTAATATTAATTAAATTATATATAAATAAAAATGAACTAAGTCAATTACCTGTAACCAGTCATAGAGATTAATGAGCCTTCCACACTCCAGGTGCAGTTTGTATACTATACAGATATCTGGAAGACTTGGGGAGATAGCACCAGCTTCGCAATGAAGAGATTCATTCTGCACTCAAGGAAAAAAAATATTCAGTAATGTTTATCTATTTTGACAATCTTGTATCACTTTTTAAAACAACATTTACATACATGGTTTGGAAATAAAAATTAAAAACTGGTGTAAGATAATAGGCATTAATAAACAGCATCTAGTGTCAAACATATTTTTCTTTATCAGAGATGTGAATGGAATGAAATCCCCCGAGATATCCTTGTGCACATATTTACTTCAAAACAAACACAAGTTTGCAACATTAATAGCACATGTGACTAACTGCCAACTTCATACAGAAATGGCATCCCTAAATATAATACAGTGGTGACAGCCTCCTGTCTACATTTGTCACCCAATCAAGACCTATAAGTACCTGGAGATAGTGGTATGGATTGCTGAGTGCAGTCTGCACTGCTATTCTGGGGGAGCCATTGATGTGCTTCCTAATTTCACCCAGATTGTCATAATAAAATATCTCATAAAGTGGGTAAAGCTTTGGCGCTTTAAGGTATTGCCTTCAACAGAAAAAAAAATACACAGACCTCTTACGTAAAGAAATTAGAAATATACAAATATGCACCACTTTTAATGCTTAATCGATTTACTATTTATTATTTTACAATAATATTTTACGTAATTAATGCTAGTGTCACCCTTGTGACAATTGTGTGATCCATCTTTATATGTGTGCCAACACAAAAACAATTCTACATTGAAGACAAGTACTTCTTATAATGTAATATAACACAATATAAAACTGAATAAAACAAAATGATAAAAAAACTTACCTGCACAATTTATCAACATAATTAATAACATCATGTCTCAATATTGTATACGCACTTTGCTTCTTTTTCTTTTTTTCTAGGAGAGTCTGAAATGACAACATGCAAATTCCATGAACATGTTTACGAAAGAATATTATTAAAATATATTTGATAACATTTTCCTGATCAATAATTATCATTATTTAGTCATATTGCTAAAATTTACTTTAGGATTGTTCAACAGGCCATAAATCCATTAAAAAGTTTTACGAAAGAATGCCATTAAAATATATTTGATAACATTTTTCTGATCAATAATTATCATTAATTAGTCATATTGCTAGAATATACTTTAGGATTGTTCAACAGACCATAAATCAAGTTTCAAATATGTTACAAAATGAGCTATACTGCAAGCTGCCACAATTACTCTTACTGACAGTAATTTACAACCTACTTCTACATAATTAACCAGCATTATTCTAATGTTATTATTATTGATAGTTTCTTTGAAAGCATTATTTACATCTTTTCCCATCTATCTACCCTCACCAGATGAGACACACATAATTTACTTTAATTTTCTGACTACAAATGTTATTTGACTTTGGATTCTACATAAACATTTATTTTTGCAATAACTGTCACAGAAATAAGGTCATATTGGCCTGAGATATAAAAAAGGGAAATATATCCACATACAGTGCAGGCAGTGTGCCCAGTCTCAGTGCTGCAACTTCCAGTATTTACCTTCTCTTTTCAGTTCATAAACTGCTTTGTATAAATATACGAAGAAACTGTTGCATATCAATTTGCAGATGTTGTTCTTAAGCAAGACAGATCTAGTTAACAATATTCAATATCATTTTCACTAGAACTGTTTTACAGGAAGTACAAATTTTGACAGCATTCCTAGACATGATATAAATCTGCATTTCTTATGGTACGTACTCCTCATTGCTATCAACACTTAATTCATGGATTACATAGGGGATTGTAAAGAGGTGGTTGGTTAGGACATATTACAGATACGAATGTTTGATTTATTGATTTATTGATTTATTGATTTGATGGGTGTAAGGCCTAGAAAATTCCCAGAAAGTATTCGAATATACCCAAATTATTAGAGGAGGCAAGCTACCAGCTGGTTAGGTGTACACTAGCCATTTAAGCAGTTAACGAGTAAAGTCAAGTGGGTCACCAATCCCACATAACCAAGTGCTGTTAGATAACCAGTTGAAACCAGTATTGTTCTAGTTCAACGATGTTGTTTGAGGTCACCTGTAACTCTTATATCCTGTTTTAACCTTTATGTTCAACTGTTAGGATCGGTTCATTGTTGATTCACTTATTCCTACATGTACATGCATGGACAAGTGATATCACTGAAAAACTTTGCTCTCTCATTTCGGATAATTTAAAGTATTATTTACATTTTACTGATGATCACAATGAGAACCGAATGTGGTGCATTTTGCTTCGTGAATATACGCGGTAGAACATGACAAGGGTTAATGTACAGAGCAGACTTTTTAACTTATAAATAATCATAAAGCTTTTGGTATGTAACATACCTATTTACATGTAACTTACTTTGTTAAAATCAATCGACATGATTCTGTATAATACACATATTAGAGGGAATTTCATACAAAAACTTTGTTGTTACATTTGGCATGTAACTACCAGTTCATGGTGGTCATCATTTTTTTTTTATTGAAAAACTACACTGCACAATCAGGGGCGGATATAGAGATATTTTCTGACAGCCTTCTAAAGTATCTTTGTTGATCCATACTTACTCCATTTTGACCATTTTCTGACAGAAAAAATCAGATACCCGTCAATGTAAACTTGAAAATCTGACTGTCTTCCGGAAGAGCGAGAAGATGGCCTAAATCCGCCCATGACAATGTCAATGATAACCATGCCAATATACGAACTAATGCAGACTGAGAATAATATAAGGATTTACCTTATTTATAACCATTTAAAGGATATTGTCACCCTTTGCCCAAAATTCCTTATTTACTGCCTTACATACATTCTTTGGGGTTATATATATATCTTCAGTATTCAATGACTAAATTAATTAACATTTACATATATGTCATTTTACGGGTGAGGTCATAACTGCAATTTTGGGATAAAAAATGAAAAATCAGTTTCTCAAATTTCTCCTTTACCTGAACACCCAAAATCACCGTTTCAATGTTGTTTTAATGACACCATTTAGTACTCCAAAACCCTGCAAGCGATTTTTCTTAAAAGTCTTAGCTCAGTTTTTTATTGTCGATAAAGCAAAATGATGCCTTTGTTTAATGAAAATCTGTAATTAAGGGCTCATAACAAAAACATTTAAACCAAAATGATGGCACTGGATTGTAGCCCATACACTCTGCCAATTTTTGTGATAAAATCTTGTTCAGGGATGAAGTTACCCTCCATACCAATTGCCATCTCACTTCAAAATAGAAAGGTTTTTAATTGGCAATTAAAGCTTGAGTTGCCTATGCTTATGCATTGCGACGAAATATATAAATGCCTATATTTTATATTTTCGAAGGTATTTATAGTTTTAAATCAGCACAAAGATAGATGCATTATTGAATAATTAGATGCAGGAAAAACTCATTTTCAGTATTTGGATGATAATAAAGGGTTACAATATCCTTAATAATTCATAAGCCATGGCTCCATTTATTCGTGTTGTAGTCAACCATTTGTTCAAGGCTGTCTCCTTTTTTCTATCTGTCATTGGTTTCACTTAAAAGAATATCTTATCAATATGGTTGAAAGTTGTTTAAACTGAAAATCCTGAAAACATAGCTTACAATTTCTCATCGCATTTAGACAAATTAAAAAAAAAAATGGAGACTGAAAATCCTGAAATCAAGCATAATGTATCTATGATTTGTGGAAATATATTTAGTTTTGTCCTCTTTTTGCTACTTATCATCAGATGGTGATGGAACGTGCATGCTGGTTTATTCTAGAATATAATATATTAGGCAGGTCTGCAGGTTATTTTGTCAATTTTGATACAGTTTATCATGACACTCAACAGCATAATCACCACCAATTTTAAGGATGCTTTTACAGGTAACACAGGCAGTCAGAAAATGCAAATTTGTGTTTGTACATAAAAACATGTATCAGAATAAAGATGTTTAAAGCAAACTGGTAGCAGCGTTCAAAAGTTAAAGGAAATGAAATAACCACAAAGTAATAAGATTTATTGGTCTAGAAGCCAGGAGCACAAAAAAAAAAAAAAAAAAAAAAAAAAAAACTTTGGCCGTGCAAAGTTACCTTTCTCAGTGTATGCATATCCATTCTTTTGGGAAGTGAGTCTGAATTGCTTTCTGCATCTGCTTCAACAGTTGCTTGAGGAAGATCTTGAATCAAAAGTTAGAATATTAAGCACAAATGGTTTTGCAATGTACCATTAGTTAGAAAATAGATATTTTTTTACTTGTGTAATTCTAATGAAATATCGCTTTTGGTCAATATTACAGAATTTCTTTAAGATTCAAAAAAAAAAAAAAAAAAAAAAAAAAATTCTAAGCCAGACACTATACCTTCTATGTCTTTAAATTTTTGAACAAATTCTTTTAGCTTGGCTGTTACACTGTCAAGCTTTGTGGGCACATCCGTCTCAGACAAACTTTCTATACATTTTCCTAGTATTGATAACAGCTCATCTCGTGACAAGGTCCTGAAAGGAGCAGTGCTTCTATCAAATACAAATATTTGTATTAAAATAAATTATTATTATTAAATTTGCAACCCAGGGGTTGGATAAATACATTCTTTGCATCAAATTTGAATAAAGTTACTAATGAATTTAAAACAAAAAAGATGTTAAAAGACATATGTTAACAAATTTAAACTAAATTAACTAAAATGCAAGGTCAAGGAGAAATAATACATCTATCGGTCATTTTTGGAACTTGTATACCACACAGGTTAAAAAGTCACTCATCGTTTGGTTTTAATTTTAGGCCTTTTGAATGTCTCTGGTTCCCATAATGAATATTTGACATTTTGTTTTGGTTGTAAAAGATAATGCAATCTATGATCCAGTTCATTTTGTTCTGTTGTGCTTCTCTGTGCTCGTAAAGTGAAAGACCCAGTCTGATCTGAAGTCATGTCCGAGTCCACAGATTAGTTAATTCATTAATGAAATATGACTTTCACTGAAGTTGATGAAAATTGTTATGCTGAAATTTAGTACAATCATTAATTAAAGTGAAAGTCATTTTGAGCAGTTACAACAATTTGATATCCTAATAACCATTTTTTGTATGCATTGATCCATATTTCACTCAGTAATTTAAGTTTACTATGTTCACAAGCAGCGTCATATTCAAGATCAGGATAAATTATGGCTGTATTCCCAGAGCTTTTAGATCGATCTATTTCGCGCGGGGAGTCTCACTAGATTACTGTCAGATAATCCGGCTTAAATGTCCGTCCCGCCTACTACAAGTTGTAAGGGGGTAATTAACTTTCGTGTCCACTCGGCTGACAGATATTTAGCGTGAACCCCCAGGGAGTTAGGTCGATCTAAAGTAGATCGATCTAATCTCTGGAAATGGGGTCTTAAATTCTTACCTTAATAGAGCAAAAGAATCCTTGTATACCTCTGAATCAAAAACAGATGTCCCTAGATTTGTTCCATATAATTCTCTTATCTGAGAACAAGGCATTGGGAAAAAGTAAATAATAATATAGCAGAAAGTTATAATAACTAGACATTTAAAGACAAAAATGCATCACACTGGCAAAGGCTACCAAAACAAAAAACATCTTTACAAACATGCTGGTTCTCTTTCACATCACCACATTAAAAGGATTTTTTTTCTTCTTTTAATCAAATATGTCCTGCTAATATAAGTTATTCTAAAGGGTCAAAAAGTTCATAACTTTAGATAATATAGTTTGTCAATTCTGATGTTAGAGCTAATCATTCAGTCTATTCCTTATGATTACTTTAGTCATTACAATAATACATTTTATTCCATCTAAAAAAAGCTAATACATTTAAATAAAGAGACCTCTATATAATGAACTACCTGGTAAGGTTAAACCATTAATGAATACAAACCTGTTTCCCAAAGGGATGTTTGGGCAAATTTCTCACAAAACAAAATAAACAGCTAAGGACAGGAAAGTAAGCAGCATGGTAGTCATACAAGTCTGCTAGCAGCTCTGTAACTGCACTCTGAAATATAGGTAAAAAAGTTCAAGTAAAATAAAGATGAAAATACCTGTTATACCTGCAATATTTTTGGCATTTGATTCATAATTTTTGTGGAATGGTGTAAAAAGTGATTAGTATGAAAATACACAACTGAAAATAAGAAGAAGGCTTATGCTTTAGTTTACTGTTGGTCAATTAATTAACATCAAAACAGAAAATTGGTAACAAAGGCCATGAAGACATTGTGCAAAGATTTACCTACTTTCAAATATTTGTCATCCAATAACAACTGCTTCTGTGCCTTGGCTGGCTGACCCTCAACAAATCTAGTAAAAAGGGTAAGAATCACTGTACTGTACCACAAGTTTCCCATTAAAAATTGTCATAATTATAATGAACTGTTTCGTAAATACTTAAAATATTTTAATCAATGGTCATCTACCATAGAAACATCAGTGGTAATCACGATCCTTACAGTCGAAATGATGCAGCTTTTCTAATTTCTTCCAACTCTTTGGCTGACAAAGCATGTAGATTGGCCTCTGCTTTCTCCTTGCTGCAGCATAATGCACTCAGCGGGTTCACATAGAAATGATCCATCAAAGCAAACTGAATATAAAAAGAAACTCTTCATAATCATGATATCAATTAATTAACTACACACTTCGCTGAGCAATATAGCAAGCATAATTGTAAAAACAAAGTGGTCTGTATTGCAGTTGGTGTGCTGACCATGCACATCAACTGCACCTTATATACATAATTGAACACTTTTCATGGTCACATCCTTCACTGTGTGCATTAGGTCAGTCTTAGTCTTCAGTAAGTCTCACAGTGGTAGTGGCAGAATTTATTGGAAAGAAGCATATAATGTTCACTTTGTAGCTCATCAGGGCCACAGAAATAAAAAGACAAATGTCAACGGGCATAATCCCTTTTTTTCTAAATGCCGGACACTGCTGTGAACTAAAAACAAAAGTATCTATAGATAACAGAAAAGGTGTTTGAAGTATGAGTTAATTTGTAGCTAAACAATCACCGGTAGTTTAAATTTGTGTTTTTGTTTTTTTTTTAGTTCTGGCCAGTATCCAGCATTTAGGAAAAATAAAGAATTATGCCCATTGACATTTGTCTTCTTATTTCTGTGGCCCTGATGAGCTACAATAATGTCAAAACATAACATTGTAAAAGGGTGTTTGCTTTGTTAAATCATACAGATTGAAGTATTCATTTTAATATTCTTCTTTCATTTTAGAATTCTAACCCCTCACAGCATAGTTATAAACATACCTGAAGACCCCTGATGTAATTAAGAACAGAAAAATCATGGTATAAGAATATATCCAGTAGGAGACGAAAAACCTTTGGGCCCAGCTTGAAGTGGTGCCTAGCAGTCATTACAACCTTTTAAAACAAAAGAAAAAAATGGAATAAATATGCCCTATATTCAAATAAAAGGAGTTAATTCTGCCAATTATTTGAATCATCTTCAACATTAATTCCATCACAAGTAAGACATAGGGTATTTTCTCAAATGCTCAATATTAACTCAACTGTCTTTATAGGTATATATTTTATACTATTTCCGTATCATTTACCTTACTGATGACCTGAGTAAGATACTCTGTGGATGGGGGTGCCTGGAACTTCTCAATACACAGCAGGGCAGACACTGTGCTGGGCAGTATTCTGTGTACAGCAGTCACTGCTGTAGCAATACCCAACACCAGGACTATTGGCAACTCAGCAAGGTGGTTGCTGCAACATAAATTCTCATATTGCACCTAAACATGTCATCCAATTCAATCGTTACACATCCTTTAAAACCAGTTTCTATTATGCTTTTGAAAATTGTCATCAAATATGATTATTTGAGGCAAAAAAGTTATTTGTTGTTGATCAACTAATTCACAGCATAAGTAAGATAAGTTTGTTTTGCTAAACATAATGCTTACCTGCAAGCAATAACAAAGTCCTGAACAACATGGGCTGGAAAACCTTCCAAGTCTTCCATTACTATCACAATTGGTGGGAAAAGAACCCCAGAGTTCCTTGCTTCACCACCTGACATCCTCTTTTTTTTCGATGGGGATGGACACTGCCATAAATGTCAAGTATTCATGGTAAAACAGCTATGTCAAACATCCATTTTTTTTGTCAAACCAAGTTGAGACTTTGTTTTACTCTGGGTTTATAACAATTTCAAAAATGACATTTCTTAAGCTACAACTTTGAAGTTTCTTCACACTCAACAACTTAGGTTGAACTTGATTCCTCAATACAATATGAAAATACACATCTTATTCTTATTAATAGATTATGTTAATACAATATTATTGCCTGTCTTATAACTATTCATAACAGTTAATATTTGTACACTTAAGTAAATTATTTGTCAAAGTTGCTACTGACCGTGGTTTTGCTGGCATACCAGGACGCAAGTACTGAGAGAGTGGGAGGGACCCTTTTCACATTCAACTGCTCTTCAGCATCTTCTTCAAACTAGGAAGGGCAAAATAAAAGAGAGATAAAGTTGAAAAATATACAGTAGTGAAAAGTGACAATGATCAGCTTCTTATGGACAAAAAAATAATGTTCCTTCACTTAATTACTGAGAAATATCAACCAAATAGTTCATCATAGTTTTTTTTCTTTAAGTTGCATACCAAGTCTTTGGTTCCTAGAATAAGTCCCATCATTTTTGCCATAATATTCTTCATTGTGCCACAATCTTTAGACCTGAGGAGGGCCACATACGGGGTCACCCTCTCCTGCAGCAGGGACACCAGGTTGGAAAACATTAAATCATGGTCTGGCATATTCACCCCTATAAGAGGAAATCAAATCCATCTTCAAGTACAGTAAAACTTTTAAAGCACCATGAACAGGTGCATAAATGACAAATGCTCTCTTTGTTTCCTGTAGATAATATGCATATACTGTTTTATTGACAAAATCCATCAAAATTAAACAAATGGCCCTTAATTTTAGTATTATTATTTCTCAATAATAAAATTCTTATAAGAAAATAAGATCTCCTTAAAACCTAATCAGGTAACAAACCTGTGATGAGAGCAGCAGTTGGCACCTCTTGTATTGGCCTTGATGTCCCATCACCTTCTTTGCACAGTTTAAAGTTGAAATGAGCCGACTTTGAAAATGACAGTAAGTCATCAAATATTTTCGTGTTGAGGTCAGACTGAAGAATCTGAAAAAATAAATAAATAAATAAAAATAAATAAAAATAAATAATCCTTTTTTTGTTTAACAATTCAATTAACCTTTCTAGATGTCAATCCCATGTAAGTTAAAATTAAAAAAAGTTATTCAACTAAATTAGCCAACATTTCTTGATCTGTAAGATGACAAACTACAAGAGCTGCTTTCTTGAATAACAATTTTTAATATTCCTATGTATAAAAGTTGAAGCCACTTCGATCAATGTCAATTAAAAATACTATTTTCACCAATTCTCTAAGACTACAGAATTGCATGAACTAGGCATCTCGTCACACATCTGACCAATCTGTCAGTCAGAAATAATTGGACCTTCTACACTCTACTGTATATACTCCACTATAGGTTATACATTTTAATTAAAAAACACTTGTTTAAAAAATACTAGACTAAATTTCCTAAACAATTATTTACATTTCACAGTTATCATATTATCACACATTCAAGTTATCTCATCTGCTTATCATTTCTTAATACCTGTACATCTGTTGAAATGTCTTCCCACAGTGTCTGACAAATGTCAAATCTAACTTGAGCAGTATTGGTCTTCAACCCATCAGCAAAGTAACGACCTAGAAATGAAGCAAAATACTTCATCTTGTCAATGATATATAACACAAGCCCTAAAATAGTGACTTCAAATTTTCATCTTTAAGGATTTCGCATTTGTGACTTACTTATAGGTAAAGTAGGAAAACCTTCATAAGCTAGGTAGATCACAATCCGCTAGGGGCGCTACAGTCGTAACTGTCCACGGGCAGTGAAGTGTTAAACTGAAGTCGGCCTGCTGACAGTTCGCCTATGGAACCCCTTTTTTAAATCTCTCTTTTAGCGTTGCGTAAAAAAACTAATACAAGCCATTAACTAAATAAGTTGTAAATCAAAGAGTAAAATCCGGTCACATGATTTTCCCATGTTGCAGTCTTTGACAAGTTTCGGTTCTGCTTGTTTTAAGTTTTGCCTCTACAAAATGCTAAAAAATTTCAGGTAAGTGCTGGTATCATCTTTTTGAAATTTATATCCAGCAAAGTTTATGAAATTTGCTATATTATGTAGAAAAATCATGAAATTTGAAGGTTGCGAAGTATAGTTAATTTAATCCGCAATATTACATGATGTGAAAATTACCACAGGGAAATAGCTCTGCCCTGATTAGTCACAGGCTATGTGAGCCAGACAATAGGCTGAGCACACAAAGACACACAGGGTGCTCTGCTGCGCCTGAGTGATCACTGCTGGTCAGTGGGCACAGGTTTTGAGCTGAGAAGTGTGGACACTTTTGGTGGATTTTTGCAGTTAAAAAACTTCAATATCTTTGTTGCTTGTGGGAATATTTAAAAAATTCCAAATGATTTCATCCGGTTTTTGCATTACCTTTCAGATGATATAAATATTTTAATTTTCTGATCAGTTTGAAAATTTTTCTGATATACCTACATAAGCTACAATATTAGTATCACATGGACATAACCTATGTAGTTGTACTTTGGTGACTTACCTAGGTCCAGTACTTTCTTCTTCTTACTTTTGAACACAAAGCAAGCCTTAAATAAAAGATAATAAATAACTGGCAATATTTGATGAAAGAAGCAAATGGAGATACAACATTACTGAATGGTTCGGTTTATTTAAGCAGGTAAAATAAAAATATATACCTCGCACAATTACAACTCAACAGGTGTAATCTTACCTTAGAAACAGATCCTGTAGTAGTCATTGTGGAATCACAGGATTAAAGGGAGAAAACCTTACGTGTCAGAACACGTTCCGGTCTTTTATAGACTCACAAAGTCCATAGCTGGTATAGCCAGATTGACATTAACTGACAAAAACTGATTTCTCCACCTGTAGCGATTCATAACATGTGCGCCAAAGTGATCCAGTTAGTGCACGCTAGATGGCGTTGGAATCAAGGCAAGATAAGAAACTTGGTGGACTTTGTGTTGAATAGATTGTGCTTGATGTGATCGTTTGTGACTGGCATGTCATATTGATAGGCAACGTTTTAAAGACCACATAAAACGATTTAAGAATACCACTCTAGGCTACGAAATTCATATATACCCCTTAGAGTACTGTAATGACTTTTTAATTTAATTTAGTATAAATTATAATTATTATTATTAAATTTATGTTTATTGGTTCATTTGTTTATTTATTTGCACTTTGGTGAACTGGTGTGGTATTCCTTAGTGATTTTGCATGGTTTTAAGGTTCAGTAACTGATCAAGATGCCAGCCAAGCGTGAGCATGACTGGTCAGTTATTTCAGTTTATTTTAGGTGAACCTGGTTTGATACGGTCTCGGGACTTACTATTCTTTTTTTATTTCATTTGCTTTTAATTTTTTAATTTGTATACCTTTAGACCTGGGTGGGTAACAATGTCCAATGCGGACACAGTTCAAGTAAGAAACTAAGAGTACGATTTGGAAAAGAAAGCAAAATAGGAGTTTCAGAAAAAATAAAGGCTATATATATATATAGAGAGAGAGAGAGAGAGAGAGAGAGAGAGAGAGAGAGAGAGAGAGAGAGAGAGAGAGAGAGAGTAAATGATTTTAGATTCAGATTTTGGTTAGTGTCAGTAAAAAAAGGAAATTGCTGCTCTTACTAGACCTCTGAAATGCAAAAAAAAAATGCCTTGAATGTCAAGAAATATAATAAAAACAACAATACAGTTGGGTTTTGATACTACTTTTATTAATGAACCACGCCAGCAAATTATCCCTCCATTATGGTTTTCCTTCATAAAACCTTTTAATCTTTAATATTAAAAAAAAACTTAACAATTCAGGTTCCATCTGATGAAAATACTGCAGAGGGCTCCTTCTTTATATATTTGCACCTGATTTTAAATTAATTGACAATGATCTAGTGTGGTCCCTTAATTTATAAATGATTTATGAATGTGTTAATAAGTAGTAACATATATTTATAAAGTATACTTATTTGGCACACTTTTTTAGTAAAAATCAAAATCTATCCTACTATATCATATTTTTTATTTTCATTTTTTTACTCATACTGTTTACTTTATGTACAGTATTTATAAATTTATTCACTTTCCAACTTACCCTTACTAAACCGGACTTCAAAAACCTTATCAATCATATTACAAATGTGGTGAAATGCAGGCGATGTATACAGCCTCTTAATTCAGTTTATATAACCCATTTATATACAAGTGTGTAAAATATGGCAGTTACTCAACTATCATAAGTTAGTAATATGTACTGGATTAAGGTAGATATCTATCTATGAATACTTTATTGGTATATTATAATTCCATCCCAAGTCAGATAAAGGCAAAAGTGTGCAAATTTAGGTTCATTTGGATATAACAAAACTCCAACACTGAAAAGACTAATGGAGGGCAGTGTTTCATCAGATAATACCAATCTTTAAGCATTCTATAACTGGATTTAAGCCATGGGCAACTCATGGGCAGCAGCATATCTTCCAGTCACAAAATGAAATATTTGTCTTTCAATATCTGTCAGCAAACTGCTAGCACCAATGCGGAACAGATGTGGCTGCAACCACTCATCTCCCAGTTCCTCCTTCATTAATGCAAGCCATAAGCATGCATCTTTAGCAGAGCGAATCCCTCCAGCTGGTTTGAACCCAACCTGCAGAAAAGTGAGAATAATCCATGATTACCACAGTAAATATTGTCAAACAATAGTATTATGCCACAAATTTGCACATTGGATTTTCTAATTTTAAGAAAAAATAAAAACTTGGTCAATATTATAAGACACTTTGGGAATTCTGATTCCATTCTATATAAATCAATTCCTTTCCACCTTTTGAGACACATATTTGAAAATCACATTTTTAAAATACATGAAAGCCCAGTGTTAATGGTATGCCTCATACCTTATACCCAGTCTTGTGATAGTATTCTCTGATTGCTCTCACCATCACCAGTGCCACAGGAATAGTAGCATTCACACCTTCTTTGCCAGTTGAGGTTTTTATGAAATCAGCACCTTAATTTAAAAATAAGAAATATGTGCATGTTTTCATCCATCTAATACATGATCTACTTATAGATCTGACTCTTGATCTAATGGACAAATTGTATCTTTCTTCGGGTGAATATTTTCAAAAACATGCATCTTTACTTCAAATCACACAAATTTACACTTTCTCTAGAATTTTATGTTTCATATAAACACTTTATCTACAGTGGCAGGATAAGATACAAATGTTATATACAGACCAGCCATCATGCAGACCAGACTAGCTTTGTACACATTGGTCATTGAGCCCAGCTCTCCCGTGGCCAGAATGGTCTTCATGTGTGCTTCACCACACGCCTCCCTCATCAAACGCACTTCATCATAGACACCTGCAATGACAATTTTGAAAACTTGTAAGATTTGCTATCTTAGGCTGTATTCCCAGAGCTTTTAGGCGATCTATCCCCGTGGGGAGTCTCATTAGATTACTGTCAGATAATCCTGCTTAAATGTCCGTCCCGCCTACTACAAGCTGTAAGGGGGTAATTAACTTTCGTGTCCGCTCGGCTGACAGCTATTTAGCGTGAACCCTCAGGGAGTTAGGTCGATCTAAAGTAGATCGATCTAATCTCTGAAAATGGGGTCTTAGCTGTATCACAGCCATTAGTCAAAAGCTATACAATTTAAGTCAGCTGCCAGCAATTTGAAACTTTTGAAATCAGCCATTAACACAATTTTTATATAACTATGATTATTTACATCAAATTAGTGTCTCATACCAGCTCAAAACATCCTTAGCTCCTGCAAGTATTTACCTTTCCAATTCCCTGAAAGTGCATATGCTCTGTTAATCACGATGTCAATCTCTGATGCCCCATCATCTACGGCAAGTCTGATCTCCTCCAGTCTTGTTTTTAATGGAACTTGGCCAGTGGGGAAGCCTGTAGCCACTAGAATGAGAGAAAATGCCAAAGATTTATTATCTATAATATAATATACAATGTATAGGACTATGGCATTCTGACAACATAAATAAATCTATGTAACAATCAAAACATTTCCATATTTTATGATCTGATTCAATCCAGTGCTATCACAATGACCCTTTTTTTTCAAAACCAAAAACCTTTTTAACATTTAATCTCTTAAGCCTCACCTGAAGCAATAGGGATGTGAGATCCCCCAACCTTCTTCAGGGCTCTCACACAGTCCGCGACCCTGCTTGCATACACACATACTGCCCCAGTGGTAATGTCTAAAGACATAAACTTGAATTATGACATGTTTTAGTATATTCCAGTCCGTGACCCTGCTTGCATACACACATACTGCCCCAGTGGTAATGTCTAAAGACAAAAACTTGAATTATGACATGTTTTAGTATATTCCATTTTAGCTCCAATCCCACTTGTTTTCGGTTGTTATTCTATTGTCAACATGAGCAAATTATGACAACCCTCTGCAGTAATATATTAAATAATGCAAGCTAATAAAATGAAATGCATAATAATTGTTGCTGCTATCATTTGACCCCCCCTCCCCCCCCCAAAAAAAAAAAAAAAATCACTATTCTTTTAAAACATTGTCTTTGTTAGTCTATGAATATAATGTTCACCTTTATCATGCATTTTAATAGCCTTCATTAGGTCTTGCCTGATAGGATACTTGGCTTTATAACACAGCCTTTCTACATTGGTGACAGTGTCATCACCTGCCAGGGTGGTCAAATCAATACATGTCACAGCTTTCAGCAACCAAGCTGCCTAGAGGTGAAAAAATCCAGACATTAAATAAATTTTGTTTTATAATGAGCTTGTGATTTTCAAGTACCCATTGTTTATTTAGTACTAGTAAATCTATGCAGCTCAGTCTGAATTTTAAATCATCTGGTATGCATATCAATTAGTAAAAGACAGAGAAAAGAGACAGTAAAGGTGCTGCTAATAAATAACAAATATGTTGATCTCTGCATAGTTTGGTTATCATCATGTATGGTACTGGCATCATACCTGCCACTGCTTCTTCACAGTTCTTTTTGCTGCCAGTGACTCTGCTCTGCGTTTCACAGCTGGCAGGTTGATGGAGACCCCCTCGAGCCAGGTAGCATCTAATATATAAAAGACAGCATAGAGATATCATGACCCAAACAGAGAAGAAACAAATCAGCCATTCCACGAAAAGGGGTACAATTCCAAAACAAGAAATGCAGCGATATGAACTTTGCAAAACTGGAAAACTTTTTATATTATTTTGATGAAGAGGTATTCAGAAAGTAGTAGAAGAATTTTAACCCACACCATTACTGTATTTAAAGAAATATGCACGTGTAAACATGGTACAGTATTTTTTTCNGCACACTGAATACAGTGGTGAACTGAGAGCTCTTAACTTGAAACAATGGCCTACACATTGTATCACCATCAATCATTCCCCCAAGACCGACCTGAGACACATACTGGTTCCTGAATATTTTATTAGAAGTTCAAACGCATAAAAATATAATATGTCATCTGGACCCCGAAATTTATTTCGGTCACAAAAAATCAGTCCGAGCCTGGATATGCACTGCATAACTACAGGCAACGATTAATAAGCTTGAGCATTTGAAAATGAAGTTCAAGTTGTCCAGACGAAATATTATGTATCATTTATATTTCATTTTGTCAATAGTTATTTAATAAAATTTCTTGTTAATTGGCTTGGTAAACAGTAACATGTGTAAGATTGTCAGGAAGACAATTCGTCAAAATGCACAAGATTAAGTGTGCAAAAACAAACTCACCAAACTCTTGACCTGGATTCCGTGCAGCCATCGTTTCAGTTGTGTAATCGGTGGCCATTTGACTTTAATTTAGAGTCCAAGAGGAGCTGAAGCCAATACCTCAAATGGGATTTCTTGAGAGATTTCTTGTATTGTACTATTGTCATTACATATCATCACCATTAACATGTTTTTCATATTTTTGATCTTCAAAGTAATTTTTTATATCTCCAACCCCTGTTTGAATACCCTATCCTTCTCCAAAGTGATAACACATTCAGGACATACAAAATTCCACAATAAATATATTTCAAGCAACACACAGATATGTTAATTCCATTTTACCACGAAAACGGCAGTTATTCCAATTTTTCTGAAATCTGTGCTTACCATCGGAGCACTTGTTGCATATCATTCTCATTTTTTTTTCATATGATAAGTTCTATATGATATGAAAAAACATTTTGAGTAAAACTTTTTTTTATTTTCTGTCTGTGATTGCAAGTCTGCCTATATGCAAGGAGAGGGGAAAACAAACAAATTCTGAGATCAGTAGTGATTTTATTTATGATAAAACTTTTAAAAATCAATTACATAATAATTACTGTTAATATTTGTAAATTTTAATCCATAAGATATCAGTTGATATACTTCCAACATTTTTAGTTTTATAACAAGAAAATCATAAATATTGCTTAAGTTCTAAAGGGAATTTTACACATTCCCAGTGATGATTTTTGTCTCAAAGGTCTCACAAACAGCTTTACCAGGTCAAACAATTCTGCATGTTCCTCATATATCCCTCAGATGTATTCTTTTAATACGTTGGGCAGTAAATATTGATCATCTGTGTCAACTTTTTCGTTAATTGAATGCCTTATCAGTGTTAAAACAGGTTTCTGCAAAGTGGGCATGTTGAGTTGTTGCTTGTGCTAAACCATTTATACTGAAAAAAATCAGGAATTGCAGTATTAATATCTCAAAAAAAAAAAATCTCTAAAGGAACTGAACTTCAGTTTTTTAAAACTGCAGTTCTGTTCCTTTGGAAATTTTTTTAAAATACCTCTGAAATACCTCTGAAAATAAGAATCAATGTATTAAATTGAAAAATATTCATATTCCATCACAATTTAACTAATCAGAAATGCTTCAATACACTTTCAAGATGAATGGTCACATAGTTTGCTTAAGATATAATAAAAAAAAGGAATAAACATCTTTTTTTTGTGTGAGTTCAATATAATGCAATAACATACTTACTAGACAAGCATTATGAAACTTCTTTTTGCATGTTTTACACTGCAGCTTTGGCAGCTGGCAATTTGAACCATGGATGACTGAGAAACATATCATACACTCTTCTACTCCTTCAAACCTCTTGTCCACATTCCTCTTCCATAGTGATAAGCCGTCTATTATGGAACCATTCTGTAATTGTGGAAAAAAGTCCAGAAAAAAAATCCACACAGCTGAAAATATTTGCTCCACTCACATTATCAAAATTGTTATATGTAATTTAAACTATTAATTATAGAGATGGATGAAAATACAATTACAGTAAACATATATCCATTAAAATACCGGAAAAAATTGGTTATCTCATAATCTCAGAATAATTCTGTGATTTTGTATTTGAAACAGCTCCAAAATTGATGGGAAATTTTGGTATATACAGTTAGAGTGACAGTATTTTTGACATAATTAGAAAACTTGCTCAGCTCATACCATAAGAATAATTATAATTCTGAATTCATCTAGAATTGAAACAATTCTATATTTATTACATGCTATGTTGTAATTTTCAAATTTCTAAACAAATTCTCTTGAATGTTTCCAAGGGCCATTCTTCCTTCGAGCCCTTACCTGATATGATAAAAATGTTGTCATTTGAAGAATCCAGTTTCTCCACTGTAGATTAGCCACCCCTATTCTCTTCCCCCATTCTACTGAGATCTGCCCAAGGGGGTGGTTGGCTGGAAGCTGGATGATGAGTTCCATTGAAAAGTCCTCCACAGTGTAAGTTGCTATAACTTCTCTGGTTGTTGACCTTGCCTTTACCTGGAAGATACACAGAAGCTTAAATTTCTGCACTAAAAGATTTCTATTTCAATCATTCGAAAGACAAAAATTCAAGCAAAATATCTTACCACCATGTTGTCAAACTCTACTCTTCTTTCCTGCACATCTTTGATCTCTTGGGCACATAACAGTGGGCTTACATATTTTGACGTAAACCTGAAAACACAATTTTTTGGTTTGTAAAATCTACCATACAAAAAACCAGATTGTTCAATGCCAGGCACATCCAGTTTCCAAAATGTAATGAGGAATTGTAAATTCATAATCACAAGTTTATACAGACATAATAGTCATTACTTCTTACAATCAGACAATTTGAACTTTGCTTATTGACAACTAATTAAAAAATTGCGACACCCCACCATCATGGCTTCTCCTCTATATGTGATACTCACTTCTCGACTTCCATGGTGATTCTTTTATCCTGGTCTGTCCACCACTGCCGAATCAGTGCAGGGATGTCCTGGAGAGCTGCATAATACACAGAACATGCCAAGTGTTGCAGTTCTACTGTGCTGAAATCTCCTGTAACAATAAACAAATATAGTTATTTCTTTGTCTTGGGGTGCATGGGGGGGGGGGGGGTTGAGGTATTTATGAATTTTTTACAGTGCTACATATGTAAGGGTGGTGAGATGGCCACATAGTAGCTGGCAAGACTTGTAGCATGATTAACAAACCTTTGATATTCAAATCTGGTTCTTCTGCAAACAGATTCATAGACCCTGATAGTTTGTTTGCTGGGCATTGTGCCATCTGGAGGTCAGTAGGTTGAACCGTGGGGTTTTCTGGCATAAGTCTGAAGAGGTTAACCATCAAATTGTGTACTGCATTTGTCTGCTTTAAGTATGTAGCATACTCTGCTCGAAGCTAAAAAAGAATAAAAATAAGTGGAAAACATGCGTCTATAATGGAAAATTTTTAATGTCTTACAATGGTAATCTAACTGATGAACTTCAATTCTGCTGATTATCAAAGACCTTCACCTGTCACATTGTATAAACACTATTGTAATGTAGCCTTACCTCAGATGTTGCACCCTTGAAGAATTCCAATATCAATTTCCATGACAACAGGTATCCCATGGCAACTGTGAATTCCTCTATGTGAGGTTCTATGAGCATACGTTCCCCAACCTTGAGGTCACCCAGGATGTGATCAATCACATTTGTGGTGGTGTTCAAGATAGAGAGGAGAGGTTCAGGAGGAGCTCTGAAATAAATATAAAAAACTTTAACTCCTTCATTTGGTACACCCTGTGCTAATAACATTCTTTAGCTTACAAATTATATATTAGCCTTAATAAACAAGTTATGATTTGGAGATAATTTTCAATTTCAGGATTCCTCAACACCAATAGTACAAATAAAGAACAAACCTTGAATTTTCCTCATTTGAATCATCTGTACTCTTTCCTTCATTAAAAAATGTAAGCTCTGGCATAGTGCTGAAATTAAAAAAATCAAACATTTTATTTCTATATTACATATTTCGGGAAAAAGACATGCCACCTAGGCCAGTAGTATTATGTATCACATAGTTTTTGTCTATAAACTGCAACAAATGTACAAAATAAATTAATTATCATGAACAATAAATTTATATAAATATACCACCCTATATTTGCACTACTGCCTACAGTTACCTAAATAATAACTTATAAACTGTTAGCAGCACCGCTCGGTGATGTGACAACAGATGAGGACAAAGATGGTTCAGCAATGTCTGAATCTCATCTGGTAGGTTACTGTTGTCGTCTGCTTTCAGTTTAGCAGGGAGTTGGTGAGACTTGAGATGTTCTACTGGACACAAAGCCATTGCAGCACCCAGGCAACGCAGCTGGTAGTCCAATGCAAGCGGCTGCTTTAAGACATTTAGATTATCTGTAAAACAGAACAAGGTGAAATGAAAATATGTGTTAGGAATGCTTAAATTTACAAAACTTACATTATGTTATTAAATCAAATTATGTTGAACCTTTAACTGGGTAAGGGGTTTTTACTTTATTCATAGCTAACTTTTTGATGGATTTTGTAGTGAAAAAAAAGATAAAAGATATATCCATTTCTAAACTGACTGCCTTGCAAAACTAACTCTTACCTGAATATTTGACAAATATTGGCAACAAGATGGTATAATTCCCCTGGCTGAAGAATTCTGTCCACTCTGTGAGCAGACCATCAGGAAAGCTATCTTTCTGCTGGGGAACCACATTTTTCATACAGGTAGCTACGGCTGCCAGCAGGTTGCACGCGTCGGCAAACAACACCAAGACAGGGGCATGTGTGTGCAAGGCCAGGCCACATTCCTGACAGCTCTGGAGTGGAAAAACATCAGACTTAGCATCACACCTCAGAGGAATGATTTTTTTAAATCTAATTTGTCAGGCAACAATCCAATGTTCATCACTGAAATTAAATTAATGTAACAGTTAATTTGAAACTATCATTCATACGATAGAACTTTTAAGTTTCTTTACCTGTATCCAGGCAGCCAGGCTACACTGCACAAAGTCCCAGTGTCCATCTTCTAATTTAGTTGGTATATGGTTTACTAGCACTTCCAAAAACCTTATCATCCAAACATTGAAGTTTACCGTGTTCCAACTCAATGTCTTAATGCTGAAACAAAACAATATAATAACATGTTCAAAACATACTGTAGCTGACTAATTTGAACTTCCAATTTTAATAATGCAATGAAGAAAAAGAAAATAAAAGTAAACATTTAACAAGTGTACCAATATTCTGAATATGTTTAGCGGTGCAAGCGGCAGATGAGCTCCCAAGCCAATGGTGTGAACACCAGATGGCATGCGGAGGAGCCTCAACAGCTGAGGCCAACGGATGGCATCGACTAGCAAGTTAGCTGTTACTGCTGGGCAACCTCTTCTCCAGCAAGGCATGTTGCGCTATTGCGTACCGCATTGTATTAGGTGATGAGGACCAGAGAGGCAGTCTGGTGAAGGCACAACACCAACTGGCTTTTAT